AAGAGGTTGAGATGAGTCACTCACAGTGCTGTATGTATACAATTCTTCATTGTATCTCTCTTGAGTTAAGAAGCTATTCATTTCGGAGCCACCCCCTTGCTGACTCCTCAGGAAGGGACAGTGGTCATTTTTAAACAAAGCAAAGCTGTTGTCATCTTCTTCGGGGCTGCCACCTTTGGAGCTTTCTGTAAAAAACAGCTCCTGTTGTGAATCATCCAGCCTTTCATCTATATCATAAGTTTCCTCATCACTTTGAAGAGGAGAATAGGAGATTCCCCAGTCGCTCAGGTCATCTTCTGGCCAAAGCAGATCGGTGCGTTCAGAGTTGTTCTGGCTGTCCAGTCTTCTGGCAAGAGGCAAACCAGCTCCTACCAGTTTGTCATCGTTAACACATTGTGCTACTTGAGGGGCTTGCTGGGACGTTTGGATATTGGTTGAAGAGGCAATCGTTTTCTTGGTTTCAGATGGAGACTGAGATTTTTTTAGACACTGTGTCACGAACAAGGGATCGATTGGGACATTTTTGAAGTTCTCAGTTTGTTTTTGATCCGGAGACCATCTTTCCTCAAGGCTACAAAGAAAGCCTGAATTAGTCTCACTGAAACTACCTGCTACCCCATGGGATGGGCTGCTAAGAGGACTCTTACTAGCCCTGCTCTGAGCCAGCAGGAGGTGAGTGTATCTCTTGTAATGAGAAGGAATTGTCGAGGTACACAGGAGACCATCAGGACACTCTGCAAATTGTAATAAAGAACAAGAAGTATTACAGTGTCACAGCACAGACTATATTTTGACAGTATCAACGTATAAATCAACACGTAAGTGTAGTCATCAGCCCTATACAGAGGCCTGAGGACAACAGCTCTTAACACAAATCAAAAGATCAGCATAAAATAAGGGTAACCCAGTATGTTTTTGCAAAGCGGTAGTTATTACTTTTAAATCAAACAAATATGAGCTCCTTTAAAATCCATATCATACTTACATATTTCTTAAACAGGTGCTACAAACTGACACCATCACTTGCTCCAGTTCACTATGGCTCAGGCAATAAAGAATACAGAAGACCGATCTCTCTCTTAGAACGAGCGTTTTACTCCCAATTTTTCTCATGGAACAACACAGATGTATGGCAATTGTAGTAACAAATTAGCTTCCGTTATTTAGTAATAACCATCTTAATTAGTTATAGCTGTTTTATACCCTGGGCAAGTTAGATTCCATTCTAAGATTAGAAATTCAATTTATACACTGGTTAATGATGATCTGGAAACCGTTCCCCACCATACATTATGATTGGGTAACATTCTGTAAACCATCTTGGCATATCCCCGTGTCTGTTTATTTCCTGGTTTATTAAATAGTGAACCCCCACTCAAGAGTGTTACATTAAATTAGAGAAGACTTCTTTGCTTAAAACGTAACTTAAAATTGCCTCAAAAATTTTTTTTGTTATAGAGTTCAATTCAAAAAGAGTCCATCTAAAACGATTCAAAAGAATTTAGTCAGAGGGAAAAAAAAGATAAATCTTTGAGGTGGTTTCATCTACAAGACATTTCACCCTGAGGTGTTCACTGTGGGACTTCAACTCTCATTTTGGGATTTCAAGCCATTAAAAAGCAAATTACTAGCATTTGGTGTGGCTTTCACTTGCTATACTTTTATAAGAAAAACTAATGAGTCGAAACCGGTTTGGCTCAGTGGATAGAAGGTGGGCCTGCGGACTGAAAGGTCCCAGGTTCGATTCTGGTCAAGGGCATGTACCTTGATTGTGGGCACATTCCCAGTAGGGGGTGTGCAGAAGGCAGCTGGTGGATGTTGCTTTCTATCCCTCTCCCTTCCTCTCTGTGAAAAACCAATAAAATATATTTTTGAAAAAAGAAAAACTAATGACAAATTTTAAAAGTTCTTTTGCATCTTCATGCAGAACTTTAAAATTACAGAGGTTAATAATAAAATAGCTTTGAATCACATTTAACATAAAAAGCCATACTGAGTATTATTTTTACTTTACTGAATTTTATTTCTTTGAGATTTAAAAATCTGTATACTGCATACATAGCTTTAAAATATACAAGCCATCAAAACACATTTTCCATATGCTCCAAGTTGAATTCTCTACCTTTTAAGCATACGTTTACTAGAGATGTTAAAAGATAAAAACATTGATTACCAATGGGCACATTTTTAGCATGAGAGCTTAAGAACCTGAGACTCCTTCCCAGTTCCTCTTCCTGAACGTTATGATGTAGCCAACATAACCTCAATTACAAGACTGGGTTATATTCTTAAGACTCTAAAAGTCTGCTTCATAAAAGGTAACAAAATGGACAAGCCGTTTAACTTTTAAGACCCCTCATCTATAAAATGTCAATACCTCCTACCTTGGGCAGTTGTGAGTCAAGTAAAGCAAGTGAACGTATCTAGCCTATGTGCTCAATTAGCGTTTATGAAAAATAAGCTGAGATGTTTAGGGACTTTTATAAAACAAAATCCATGTGGACTGTTTTCAAGTTCGCAACCTTCTATACAATCGCACCATTGGCTGTTGTGTTTTTACCCTTCTCAGGAAGAGTACACAGGCTTTTATCTTGCTTGCTTCTAGGGTTAGAGCATCTCCTCTTAGTTTATTGCTTCCCTTGTTTGGACAGATATGCCTGGCCTATTGCAGGTCCATTTAAAGATCACTATCTTTTATTGTAATCTTACCTGTTTCAGAGAGTGGCCGAGAATCCAAACACTCAAAGACATGCCATCGAGGTGTTTGGCCCAGTAACGCGGAAAAAGGCATCTGGCAGTTTGGGCAGTACCCGTCATACACCGGGCGGATCTTTGGAGACACCTGTTTGGTTTTGTGAGTCCTACACTGTTTTCCTGGTGTGGTCTTGCCTTGGGATTGCTGGGTACCATCTCCGCAACTAGAATCCTGACTAGAAACTATATTAGTCTGACTAGAAACTATAGAAGTCTGACTACAAACTATGGAAGTCTGACTACCTGCTACTCCAATGCACACTTGGTCCTCTGCCTTCTCGTTAGCTCCCACAGTTCTTTTATTTCTGTTACGCTTTGCCTGGCATTTTCCATCTGTTGCTTTTTCTACAGATTTTGGAATATTCTCAGGGCAGTTATTTGCATGTACTGGTTTTGGTCTCCTTTTGGATTTGTATTCCCAGATGTCTTCTTCTGCAAAAGTGTCTTCTAACATGGCAAAATAATTTTTACCATTAAAGATGCACTAACATGAAGCACACGGAGAGTCTATTTCTTGTTACAAAATTTTTCAATGAAATTATTTTGCTTGGGAAAACAAAAGCAACCTAAAATACTAACTTGATGGGAATCTAAAGGTCTGGTAATGAATTTATTGGCAAATTACAAACCTTATACCTGAGACCACCTACTACAATAAAATTAAGAGAAACTACCACAGGGGTAGCACCTGAGAAGTTTTCCTTTTATTATTATTATTATTATTGTTGTTGTTATTTTGATGTGGCTACTATTTCATTCAGACACTGGGCCTTTTTCAGGGCTTGATTCACAAAAAATAAGAATCCGTAATACTTTGAAAATCAAGCATCCGTGGGAGTCTTTCGAACGAGCTTTGTAAAAGCGTTATAAAGCTGCTACCAGTTCTCTTTCCACCGGACGACTGTCCAAACAATTCCCAAATCCACCCTCAGTCCCTGGGCAATTGGCTCGGCAGGTGTTCCAAACACTCCATGGCTACCCACGGTTTGCCCATTAAGACGAGAGTCACCCCATAATCAATGCAGAGTGTGATTCCCAGCAAACATGTTTGCCCTCATCCATGATTCCTGGATATTCCACAACTCGTTTCCTGGGTCAGCCCGTCCACCGTCTTCCTCCCGCGGCGAGGAACAAACTCTGCGCAATAAACACACATTCAAACACAGGTGAAGTCGTGCCGGCACCGAGGCCGCCCTCCTAACTGCAGACCACAGCGGAGGTCCGCCCTGCAGGCGGCCAGCCCTCTCTCCCCACCGGCCTCAAATCCACGGCTCACCTGCCCGTGGCCTCCCGCGGGCTCTCCCCCTGCCCTTTGCACGCGGGAGGCTGCAGGGCCAGGGAGCCGGGCCTTCCCCACTGCAGGGCCCGGAGCGAATGAGCTGCCCGCACAGCCCGCCCCACCAGAGCAATCACAGCCTCCCCCTCGGGGGGCGGAAGTCGGGTCCCGGGGGGGATCCTCGCCGCGGCCCACCTGCCGCCCCGGGCACAGCTGCGCCCGCTCCCCCGGCGCCCTCTCCCCCTGCCCCGCTGGCGGTCCATTCGCGCCCGCACTTTCAGCACGGCGGGGCGACAAATGGCTCTATTTGTGTACAAGCCAGAGCCCTGAGCAAGTCACCCCCCACTTTTTAAAAAACCTGAGGATTAAATATATATATGTATATCCCTACTCCTTTACCTTTCCAGTCTTGGCGGGACTGCTTCCCGCGGTCAGGGCCGTGTCGAATCGGCTGGTTCCGGTCTAAGAGCCGGTCTTCAAACAGAATGAATAAAAAAAAATATGAGGAAAAATAATATGTGCCCTCGTATAAGCCCTGCGGGTTCACTGAATTTTATTTTCTGTCCTAATAACATGTGTGTGTGTGTGTGGGGGGAATGGTTCTCTTCCAGCTTCTAGAACGCTCCCCAGGGTCTTTCCCTGTCGAATCTGGCGTTCCGAACGCCCAGCCTCGGCGGCTGCGCAGGGCCGGCGCGCTCGGAGGGGCGGGGCGGGGCGGGGCGGGGCGGCCGAGGGCGGCAGTTTAATTGCGCGCCGGGAACGGGCAGCGTTTTGGGGGACTTGAGCGTCTGCACGCATGTTTACCACGGGGAAAAGCGCCCTTAAATGTGGGCTGGCGCTCGGGGAGCGCGAGGTGAATGTGCCGCGTTGAAACCGCAGGCCGGGAAACGCCGCCTCGCCGTCCCCGGAGGAGCGCGGCCCGCGCGGGGCCCGCGGCGCCGCGGCCGCCCCGGGACCGTCCGGAGGGAACATGGCGGCGCCCGGCGTCCGGGGCCGCAGCCTCGCGGGCCTGCTCCCGGCTCAGACCTCGCTGGAGTACGCCCTGCTCGACGCCGTCACCCAGGAGGAGAAGGACAGCCTGGTCTACCAGTATCTGCAGAAGGTGGACGGCTGGGAGCAGGACCTGGCCGTGCCCGACTTTCCGGAAGGTGAGGGGCTGTGGCTCCGGGGGTGGGGACCCCTCCGGAACCTCCCCGGTCCCTCCCCTTCCTCGGGGCGCGCCCTCCGCGGAGGCGGGTGGGCGAGGCGGGTGGTGCCCGAGGCGGGGTGGTGCCCGAGGCGGGGTGGTGCCCGGCGGGTGGTGCCGGGCGCCTGGCCCGCCGCCGGGGCCGGGGTTCGAGGCCGCTGCCTCGCCCAGGTGCCCCAGGGCGGGCCCTGCCTGGCCGTCCTGTGTCTGAACCCCGTCCGGACCTCAGGTTAACCACCTGGACCCCAACTGGACCTGCCCTGAATGTTCAGTGGCCCCGGTGGACAGTGATCAAAATGCCCGTGGCCCCCTGCCCTGCCCTGCCCTTTCCTCCTGGTTGCCCAGCATCTTCATCGTCATTTTCTGCACCAACCTAGCTACCGTGTTTCCCCGAAAATAAGACATCCTCCGGAAATAAGACCTAGCGCATGGAAAGATAAGACATCCCCTGAAAATAAGGCCTAGCGCAACTTTGGGAGAAAAAAAAAATTAATATAAGACACTGTCTTATTTTCGGGGAAACAGGGTAGCGTTTTATCATTCTCTTATGTGATACACAGTTCCGAACCCTTCGGGGGTATCTTCTTCATCATCTTCTTTATGCCTTCCCCTACCACCCGTGGAGGTGCTCTCACGAGTCCTGTTCTCCAGTCGGGGAAACTGAGGCACGGGAAAGCCAAGCTAATTTGCCCAGGGCCTCACAGCTGGTTACTCTCTGCCAGGGATCGATGATCAAGACCCCGGATCGACTGGGTTCTTAGCTCCGCGGCCTGCACGTCTCCCTTCCGAGCCGCGAAACTTATCATTGTAACAATCGGAATCAGGGGTGGCCCATCTCCAAGGCGGGCGCTGCGAGTGTTTGCAGCACGAGGGAGCTGGCCCTGCAGGCAGTGCTGTTTGCGAGGCAAGTCTTGCTGGGATAAATGAAACCCTGCCTTCCCCTCTCTGGTCCGCACTGTCATTGTTTTTGCCCGGTGGCGTTGGCATGGCTCCTGGCAGGACACTGAAACCACATGTATAGTTAATGGGGTGGATGGGGCAGGGCTCAGTATCTCCAGGGAGGTGCATCGGAACCTTACCCTCCGCAGCAGCCTGGGGTGTCTTTCCAGGCCTTTTGTTACCACCTTGAAAAAGTGCTTTTTAAAAAATTTTCTGTTATTAGTCCTATACCAGATTTGAAATACTGCGGGATTCTTACCAAAAAATTGGGAACATGAGTGCTTATCCCATCAAAGAAACTTTGAAAGTCGAGATATATATATATATATATATATATATATATATATATATATATATATATATATATATATAAAAAAAACAAACAAACAACTTTGTGAGGACCTAAACGTTTTGGCCCAGTGGATAGAGCGTCAACCTTTGGACTGAAGGGTTCCGGGTTCGATTTCGGCCAGGGCACATGCCAGGGTTGTGGGCTCAATTCAAGCTTCGTATTTGACAGTCAGATTTTCTCCTGGACCTAATTACTGAGGACAGGATGCTAGCGATGACTTTTTCTTGGTTTCTTTATCAGTAAACTGATACCAAGAAGTCATAAACATAACTGAGCCTCAAAAATAGTATGTTTTTGTTCATAAAGAAACACATGTGTATGGGAACTGGTGTGATATAATGGATGGTCAGACAGACCTGCGACTAAATCCCAGTTATTCCCTTTGTTAGCGGCAGACGTTGAGCAAGTTACTTGACTTCTCCAAGCCTACGTCGCACTTGCAAAGTAGAATGAGTATTTACCTTTCCTGTTTATTATGTACACTGGAGGTAATGTAGCTAACGTTCTTAGTTCAGTAAATGTTAGCAGCTCTTAAAATTATATTTATTGTCATTATTGTTTTTATAAAATGTATGATAATATTAAACCTGAGAGGCCCTTAACATAATAACTGACGTGTAATAATACTTTCTCTGCCCTCAATGTAAGTCACTCTTGACTGTTTACAGAAAAAAAATATTTTGCAACTTGGATATAAAAGATACATTAATTAACTCGAAATTGTATATAATAACTTGATCTGACATGTAATTAATACTTTATTAAAATGGATAATGAAGCGTTCACCCTAAAATCTTAAGTTGGATTAATTGGCAGAAGTGATAATTTGATGAGCAGTTTTTTGTGTGTTTTTTTTTTTTATTTAAATTCTTTATTGTTTAAAGTACATAGTACATATGTCTCCTTTTCCCCCATTGGCTGCTCCCACTTCCCAGCACATGCCCTCACCCCCCTACTGTCTCTTGATTTTTTTTGTTGGTTTGTTTTTAGAATTTTGTTATAATTGAGTAACTCCAATTACTGTTATTAGTCACTAGATCTTATTGTGCACTGATTCCACCCAACTCTAGCTTACTGTTTCTATAAAATATTTCCAAATGCCTGTTTTAAGATATAATTAAGTATTGTATGTCAATTACACTTTAAAAGTATAATTTATAGTTTTAGTAGCTGCATTTATCTATAATAATAAAAGCATAATATGCTAATTAGACCAGATGTCCTTCCAGACATTCTTCCTTCTGGACAAAACTGCAGCAGGCCGGGGCCCAGCAGAGGTGGCCGCCACAGCAGCAGGCAGGGGCCGAGGCCCTTGCATGAATTTCGTGCATTGGCCTTTAGTTTACTTATAAGCAACAAACTCATTATCTTTGTCTTAAGTTGGTTAAATGAAGATGCTCTATTTCATCGTTGATTTTTCAAAAGAAAGGAAGGTAGAGAGAGAAATATTAATCAGTTGTGAACCCACAATCTAGTTATATGCCCTGTTCAGGAATCCAACTCACAACCTTCAGGGCACGGGAGGATGCGCCAGACTACTGAGCCACACTGGCCAGGGCAAAATGCAGTACTTTTAATGTTAGGTTAACAAAATCTATCTTCATAGTGCATAGCTGAAATTATAAATGATGGTCAAGTAATTATAAATTCTGAGTTGCAAAAGTGCAGATTGATGGGATTTTCTTTGGAGGGAAGGGGACTAATGTTGTTTACATGAAATCTGTAACAGTGTATTTTTCTTTGCATTTAAGATATTTTTCATTTATGGTCTCCTTCAAATCAAGCATTTCTTCTCTTTTGTGAAATTGGTTTAGGCATTTTGTATGTTTAACCTTTGATTGGAACACTTTGCTCCATTTTGATATTTAGTCATTCTTGCTATTTTTAAGGTTGACTCATTTTCAGTACCTTATTGTGTACTTAGGCCCTCTTAATAATATTTGATATTTCCTCTCGTTTTTTACCTAAATGTGTTGATTTTACTTTTTTTTTTCTTACACAGACTGCTATGCTGTTTCTGAAAGAATTTGGTGGCTTTTTCTTGCTGAATATGCAGGGCTGCCCCTTTACATCCTCTGTCCCATTTTGTTCCCCTGTCTTCTCCTCACACCCATCTTCTCCTAAGAAATGAGTGGTTCATGTTTTATTGGAAGTTTTAGATACATTGTCCTTTTAGTTATGATAACTTATTTCGTTTCAATTTCAGGGTTAGAATGGCTGAACACGGAGGGGCCTCTTTCTGTTTACAAGGACCTGGGTGGAAAAGTGGTCATCCTGGATTTCTTCACCTACTGCTGCATCAACTGCATTCACCTGCTGCCTGATCTCCACGCCTTAGAGCACACCTACTCGGACAGAGGTAACTGCCCTTTCCTTGGTTCCTAGTGACACAGACACTGGGAGAGGAGCTGACTCATTTCCTCATAGGCAAATGAATGTTTGGCAGGACTGCAGTAATTCTAAAAGTAATTTCTAATCTATGAATTAAGGACTCCGTGTACCTCTTCAGAAGAGTTAAATTTAGTGGTACTGGAACCAGCATTTAGATTTTTCTCTAAAAATAGGACATAAAATACTTTTCTCAGGATCAAGTATTTTTATAAGTTAATTTTATGTATCTAGATTTACCTGATTTTGTTCTATAAAAAATTAAATGTGTGACTCTGATTTTATACTCTTCTCAAGAACTGTGATATAAAGGTTTAAAGTTCTTAATAGGAAATGTGATTATTCTTCCTTTCATTTTGAATGACATGGACATAAACAACAGTAGAATACAGAATAATAAATGCTCTTCCTTTGACCTGCTTTATGAAAAATATCTTCCAAAACACACTAGGAAATCCTCTTTTATGGTATTGCAAATTGTGAAGATGTAAGAGATTAATCTTAGTATTTACTTTAGAAGTTTAGATTTTTTCAGATAATTTTTTTCCTGTTCACTTTTTCTTAAAAGAGAGCCTTTAGGATAAATGAAATTAAAGGTTTCATTTAATTAGGTTGAAATTAAAGTTCTCTTGGATAAAAAGGAGAGTCAGTCTTGTGAGTAAAGATGGGAAGAGAGTATACCTGTGCAAGGTGAAGGACTTCTTGGAACTTAAAAAACAGGAGTGAAAGATAAAATCTTCAGTGCCAATGAAGCTTCAGTTTTAAATTGTAATAGGTTATATCTTGAAGTTGCCAAACAAGGGGATTTATTAAGAACTCAAAAGTCCCAGTAGCTAGATCGTGTTTTCAGAAATCCATCTATATTGATTTAAGAACTGTGAGTATCTCATCTCCTAGGTTTTGAATGCCGTGTCTTCTTCAAGCCACTGTAAATAAATACATTTATTGAACATGTGTTATGTGTAAGGTACTCTGCTAACTGCCGGGGAAATATGTATCAGTGTATCAGAGTTGAATGAAAAGCATTATGGAACCCGAGGAAAGGACTAACTTTGCCTACAAGCATTGGAAAATATTTCTCAGAGAAGGAGACAATTTAGATCGAAGTGGGAAAAAGAGCAGCAATGCAGCTGAAAATGAGAATGGGACAGAAGGAGGAAGCAACAGGAAACAAGCAGGAAAGCATGGAAGTGTGGGTTTTTGGGAAGTGGTAAATAGCTTAGTTTGGCAGGATTGTATAATAGGAGCTCCTGGGAAAAGAGAAGGAGAGGAAGGTAGGTTGGGTTTGGATCATGTACCGAAGGGCTTTGTATAACATTCTTAATGGTTAGGCTTTTCCTCCCATTGGAGATACAGAGACAGTAAAGGTTGTTTGTTTAATAGAATGATCACATCCTAACAACATCTGAGTTTTAGGGAGGCACTACAGACTGGGTTAAGAATCCCAGTTAACCTTTTCCATACTTAAGATTACCCCTAAAAGACTGTATTTGGTTAACTTTCGTGGTTAACCCTATATCTGGAACACATTCTTAGAATGGATCCTTGTAATTTATCACTTCATTGAAAACCTTTTTATAACATACTGTAAATTAACATCTTATTTTTACATATAAATCCACTTCTGAAAAGTAAAATACTTTTTAAATAATCTCAACATTATAATTTCATAGAAACTTTATTTCAGTAATATGCTACATATGAAAAAAAATTTAATTTTTTAATTTTAGAAGATATTTTTTCAATTCATAGTCACAAAAGCAGTCATGACCAGAAATTACATCAAAGTTTAGTGAACTGTTGCTAACTTCATTGGCTTTCTTTCGACTGTGTTGTCTCACTATCTGATTTGGTTCTGAACATACTTGCAGCAATGCTTATAATTCTTAAAAGCAACATTTGGCCACCAATTTTAAATTCCATGGAATATTCAGTTAATTGTATCAGTAAGCCACAATTGCTTAGCTTTGTAAGGGAGTGCTTATTAATTCAAAACACTGTGAAAGAGGTCCAATTTATTACCCAGTCTCCTTCCTCTGAAAACAGCTTTTAAAGTTAAGTTCGTAATGGTGATCAATATCACATTTACAGTAGCACATGAGAAATCATAATGCCAAAGTCTAGAGTAAAAAGATATAGTACTTAATAGTAGTGAGTGGTCTGGTCTTCAACATTGTTTAAGAATATAGTTATACCCCAAGGTTGTTATTAATTCTTAACAGCTCAGCTTACATTTATATTACTCTACAGGTGCCTTGGTGGTTTTCTTTCCTTTTCTACTTGGGAGTTTCTAAACTTTACTTTTTCTTTTCATGCTGGATACATTAATGGTATGTTATTATATAATACCCAAATTTAGCAGAATGGCTTTTATCTAAGGAAAAGTATTCTTGTTTTGTAAGAAAACTTGGCATATTTTAAAATGTGATTACTTGGTATATGTTAATCATTAAATTAGATTTCTAAAAACCTAAATGCCACAATACACCTGAATAAATGCTGGAATTCTCATCATGTATCGATAGCATATACTATTTTTCTGTTTTAAACTTTATTAGAAACTAGAAAATGCATTTTTTTATTTTATAGTAAAACTAAACTTTTTAATGAGTCAGTATGTAATTTCATTTTGTGTCAGGATTCCTAAAACCACCACCAGGTTTAGGAAGACTCACAGAATTCTGCACAGGGAAAAGACACTTGTGGCTAAGTTCTTCCATTTTTGTTCTGTATGATTAACTGTCAGAAGAGGGCGCTCTCAAACTGAGAGCCCTGTCCACAACATGAAATGAATATTAAAAACATCATTATCCATATAAAACTGTAAAAAGTTGAAAATATGACTCAGTTGAAATGCAGATGAAAATTCTCACTTAAAAAATTCTCTCAATATTGGCAAAAACTGTAACAACTTTTCAAATGAATTACATATTTTCAAACAGATTTTAGGAATAATGAAAAAGCAACTTGAATCAAAATTCAAAACCTAAACAGAAATGAATGAACCAAAAAGAAAAAGAAAAAAGGAAGAAAGGAAGAAGAAATGTCCTGATTGAACTCAGAAAAAAAGTAGAAGGAAAAGGTCAGAATTATATTAGAAATAAATACCAAATTATGCCAAAGAGACAATAAATTCATGTAAAAATGGAGTAAGGGGCATTGAAGTGAAGCATGGGGTAAAACTTAGGGAATAAAAATGAGCGAAAGAAAAGTAACAAGAGTTAAATGATTAAATTGGAAGATAGCAGAAGAGGTCCAACATAAGACTACTTGGAGACTCTGAAGAATAAAGTCAAAACAACTGACTGGAACTAATAATATAAAGTTAGAATCCAAGAAAATGTTCCAGAAATAAAAGAAACTTTGAATGTTAATTTTTTAGACCTGTGTTTAAATGCAGGCAAATACACTAATTTAGTTCTGCCTTTTTTATTTATTTTTTCCTCTGGACTATTTATATTTACTAATGAGCCAATGCTACTCCGGCTTTAATATTTCATAATGTTTAACTTCTTTCATTTAGATGGTCTTCTGATTGTTGGTGTTCACTCGGCTAAGTTTCCAAACGAGAAAGTCCTGGATAACATTAAGAGTGCTGTTCTTCGATATGACATCACCCACCCTGTGGTTAACGATGCAGATGCCAGCCTTTGGCAAGAACTGGAAGTTTCCTGCTGGCCAACTGTGGTCATACTTGGACCCCGTGGAAACATGTTGTTTTCGCTGATCGGAGAGGGACACAGAGAGAAGTTGTTTTTGTACACTTCAATAGCTTTAAAGTATTACAAAGACCGGGGACAGATCCGAGCTAATAAAATTGGAATAAAACTCTATAAAGATTCTTTGCCACCTTCACCATTGCTATTTCCTGGCAAAGTAACAGTAGACCATCTATCTAAAAGATTGGTAATAGCAGACACTGGACATCATAGAATTTTGGTCGTCTGGAAGAATGGACAAATTCAGTACAGCATTGGAGGTAAAGTTTGTTTCTAATTATGATACGTAATGTATTTTTAGTGAAAAAAAGTTCAAGGAAATAAATTGAAATCTATAAGTAAGAGCTAGTTATAGCACTATACATTGATCTTAACTTTATGAAATTTGTTATTTAATGTATGGTACTGAAGTAATCTCTTCTCCCTAAAAAAAACAAACAAAAAAGAAAAACTCAAAAACCTACAAAACCTCATTCAAATCAAAAGGAGGAAATCTTTAAGCTAGTAATTTTTAAAGTATATTTGTATATGTTTTTTTCAAGAAAAATACCACACTCTTATTGTATCTTATGAAAGTATTACAATAAATCCTCACTTAACATCATCGATAGGTTCTGCAACTTCAAATGAAAAAACATAACAAAACAAATTTTACCATAGGCTAATTGACATAAAGAAGCGTTAAGTGCCTGTGGCATACTATCAACATTATAATAAAACAATGATGAATGTATACTCTGTATACATTTTGGATTTGGGGCATTTTAAATGGAAATATTTCACTTTTCCATCAAAATATAGTCTTATCTTTTTTTTCCTCCCATATCTTTTTTTCTTTTTCTTTTTCTTTTTTTTTTTTAAGACCAAGACAATTCCCTAGGAACCTGAGACTTAGATAATAAAATAAATAATCTAGCTGAAACCGGTTTTGCTCAGTGGCTAGAGCATCGACCTGCGGACTAAAAATTTATTTAAAAATTAAATTTTAGATTAGTTTAAATAATTTATTATTAACATATTAATCAAAGAGAAAAGTAATTCATCTCTGCAGTCCCACTTGAAGTAACACATACTGCATAAAATAGAGATACTTGCACTCCTAGAGCAAATAAACTAATCATGTTCCTAAACCCTGATGCTAATTTTCATATGCCAAGATATTACTCATTTAGCTCTTGAATTTTTTTGTCTCTTATTTGTTGTTTTTTGTTAGAATATGTGTATATTTCATGTTGTTTATTTTGTTTTAGTAACTTAGTATTTTGGTTTATAGCATGCAGTTATGAGAATTGTTACTCAAAGTGTTGTAGCAGGTTGAATTTAAATGGTTAAGAATTTATAATAGATTCTATAACTTTCAAAATAGTATAGATAAATTATTATTGTGGGGGGTTTTTTTTGTTGGTAGAGAAAATTAGCAGTATGCTAGCTTTCCCAAATATGTTTTCAGGGATACTGTTATCTTGTAATAAATTAACAGTTATTCTGGAATTTTAAAAAAAGAATTGTGTTTTGCTACACCAGGAGAAACTAGTTAAACGTGGTTTAACAGATTTTTTTGTTGATGGTGGTTTTACTGTACTTCTTATATCTTTTACTCTGCTAATATGACTCATGAATATCTAAGAAACTTTATAGTACACAGTATTTTTTAATTTGAAGTGGCCACAAACTGCTTCCTTTTTTCCTCTGCAGGGAACTCTCACCACCAATAATAATAGTACTATTAATAGTAATAACAGTAAACTGTCAATAATAGTAATAATAATATTAGTATAATAGTAATACATTTACTTCTGACATTTTTAATTTTTTTAAATATATTTTTATTTCAGAGAGGAAGGGAGAGGGAAAGAGAGACAGAAACATCAATATCAATAAGAGAGAATCATTAGTTGGCTGCCTCCTGTACACCCCACATTGGACATATGCCCTGACCAGAATTGAACCATGACCTCCTGGTTCATAGGTAGACATTCAACCACTGAGCCACGCTGGCCAGGAAACTTCTGGCATTATTCTAAGTACTTTACCCATATTAATTTATTTCATTCTTACAGTGCTGTGAATTGGGTATATTATTAGTTCCATTATACAGAAGACAAACTGAAGCACAAAGAAAGTCATCAGCTAGAGAGAGATAGAGATTTAAATCAAGTCTGTTGGGCTCTTGAATTTATGTTTCTGTACACCTGTCTTACTTCTTATGGACAGTGGAGTTTTGCAAAGCATAGTTTGGAAATGCTGACTTGAATGGCTTGTCCTCGGGTCAAAGAAATAACAATTATATTTTGGTTACTCTCCATTCTTAGAACTCCACATGTGTTACAAAAGCTGAGAAGTAGGTCACTAGACCAGAATCACTCTCTTTATTTTTCCGTATCTATAAGGTATAGAACTTTGTGGCAAAGTGAAATAGTAAATGAAAGATTCTTAACCTAGGGTTCATGGACTTGTAAGAAATTCTTTAATGGACTTGAGGATCTAGGAATCTCTTGAAATTATTTGTGACATTTTATGGGTATGTGTATTTTTCCATAAGGAAAGGGTTCATGATTTTCATTGTACAATTGATCACTCAACAATTTAGGGTTTAGGGATGCCATATCCTTGTGCAACTGAAAATTCACATGCAACTTTTGACTTCCAAAAAACTTAACTATTAATAGCCTAAACTACTAATAGCCTATTATTGACCAGAATCTTTACTGATCACATAAACAGTCAATTAACATTGTATATTAGAGGCCTGGTGCATGAAATTCGTATGTGTGTGGGGAGGGTCCTCAGCCCAGTCTGCACCCTCTCCAATCTGGGACTCCCTCGAGGGATCGGGTCTAAATGGGAAGTTTATATCCCTCTCACAATCCAGGACTGCTGGCTCCCAGCTGCTCACCTGCCTGCCTGCCTGCCTGATTTCCCTTAACTGCTTATTCCTGCTATCCTGATCACTCCTAACCACTCCCCAGCCTGGTTGATCCCAAACTGCTCCCCTGCTGGCCCTATTGCTCCTAACTGCCCTCCTCTGCCGGCCTGGTCACCCCTAACTACCGTTCCCTGCTGGCCTGGTCGACCCAACTGCCCTCCTTTACCAGCATCTTGTGTCAACATGGGGACAGCCATCTTTGACCACATGGGGTGGGCATCTTGTATATTGGAGTGATGGTCAATTTACATATCACCTCTTTATTATATAGGATATGTGTTATATATGTTTTCTTACCAAAAAGTAAGCTAAAGAAATGCTACTAAGAAAATCATAGGGAGAATACATTTACAGTATTTTTATTGGGGAAAAAAGAAACCACATCGAGAACTTCTTCCTATTTATTAGATGGAATTCTGCCTGACTCATGAATCATTCAGTAAAGCCAAGTAGATCTTTAAATTTAAAATAAATGAAAAAAATCCTCATATAAGTGGACACATGCAATTCAAACCTATTTTGTTCACCAGTCAATAGTGTTATCAATAAGCATATCTTTCCAAATTGTTCAATATCACTCATCTAGATGCTTAAAAATTAAAATTATATTTAGTTCTTCCTAATGTAGATAACAGGTACTTAAGATGCTTTTAAAAGTATTTTCTTCTGATATATGTTACTATAGTTAAGTACACTAGTAACCATTATCCAGTACACCCTGTCTTTAATAACACTTATTACTCTTGAGAAAAATAGATATATTAGTAAACATTTATTTATTATTTATTATTATTATTATTTACAGAGAGGAAGGGAGAGGGATAGAGAGCTAGAAACATTGATAAGAAAGAAACATGGACCAGCTGCCTCCTGCACATCTCCCACCGGGGATGTGCCTGCAACCAAGATACATGCCCTTGACCAGAGTAGAACCTGGGACCTTTCATTCTGCAGACCGACGCTCTATCCACTGAGCCAAACTGGTTTCAGCATAGGAAACATTTTAATCTTCAGATAGAAACATCATATTATTTATATTAAAATCCAATCTTTAAATACAGATTTTCTTTTGAAGGTTTTACTAAATGGAAAAACTTTGTCTTATGGCTATCTTGTCTTTTAGGACCCAATCCTGGAAGAAAAGATGGAATATTTTCAGAGTCAACTTTTAATTCACCACAGGGTGTAGCCATAATGAACAATATCATATATGTGGCAGATACTGAAAACCATCTTATAAGAAAGGTAATTTTCCATTTTAAAGTTTTATACTTCCAGTCAGAAAAACAGATATTTACTTGCTTCATTAAATATTTAGAGTGAGAAGAGGATGCTTAAATACCTCAAATCATTCATATTCAGCTATTTTAAGAGGTGCTGGCTTTAGTTTTATTCTTAGGTATCTTGTTTTTCTGTATGTCAGCCTATAGTTGTCTCAGAGGATAAACCCTCAGTCAAGTCCCCCTTTTTTGCCCTTTGTTTCAAGTCTCATGCCTAATCACCCAACAGCTCTTCATTTTGAGAGATTTTCCTAACCACTATAGACAAAGTGGAGTTTTGTCCTTTTAAAAGTTAAGTTTTCTGAAAGATTTTTGGCTATAAATCAGTGGTCTTTAAGTTGCTGCTTTTTTTTTTGAAATCTAAGTTGATCTAATCCATCATGCCTAAACATACTCTTTCAGATCCTTTCTTGATTTTCTTGCTGTTTTTTTGTCTATCAATATCTATGTCCATTTATTTGACAATATTATCACCTATTATACATACAATAGAAAAAAAAAAAAACTTGTGTAGGACATATAATATTCACTGTAATGAAAATCTCCATGAGGTCATGAAATTTGGTTTCCTTATCTCTGAAATCCTAAGCACCTGAAAGAGGGCCTAGCCACAGCAGGCATTCAATCGATATTTTTTGAATGAATTTCTGAGCAAAGAACATCTATTTAATGTTGCATTTTTTAAAGTGTATATTTCTCTTACTATGAAAAGGTGTTCCATGAAAAAAGAATTTTATGGATTTATAAAATAAAGCAGATTTAGTTTTGTTTTTTTTTCAAATCTTGGAGACTATCTTTTTAGAGACTTTAATATGCTATTGCCATGGTCGGCAAACTGCGGCTCTCGAGCCACATGCGGCTCTTTGGCCCCTTGAGTATGGCTCTTCCACATAATATCACTCTTGGGCGAGTCTATTTTGAAAAGTGGTGTTAAAAGAAGTTTAAGTTTAAAAAATTTGGCTCTCAAAAGAAATTTCAATAGTTGTACTGTTGGTATTTGACTCTGTTGACTAATGGGTTTGCCCACCACTGTGCTAATGTAATGTGAATACATTGCTGGGGGTATACGTGTGTAGTATTTCTAAACTTACTTGATCAAGGATTACTTTTTAGGCAGAACTTTTCATAGGACTAACTAATGATTTTATGTATATACTTTGGGGGGAAAAAGTGCTTTTCTATTGTTATTAAGTCCTTATAGTCCTTAGCAATATCTTTTAGGGTTGTGTGCTTCTTGAATTTATCATATCATAGATATCTTAACAGGGCATTAAAGTAGTAAAATATTTACCTTACAATATTCAGTGGTACTTGTCCTTTTTTAATTGTCCATTATATCTCTTGCTTTAGAACCCATAGGTTTTGAAGTATTGATTGTATTTCAAATACTTTTTATCTAGCATGATCACATTTAGGTTACTCAAAGTTATTTTTATACTACATGGCTTAGTTTATGTCTGCAAAAAATAGGACGTAAAGTGAATTATTTCTTCCTTTCTTTTAAAAAATGTTTATTGTATTTTACTTTTGTTTAAACCTTATTAACAGAGGATTGGTCTCACATTTTTCAATGCAGACCTATCTCTTGTTCAGAATATTATTATCCCCACTCCCATTTCCTCTGCATAAACACACCTGCAGGTAGTCATTTTTATGTTCAACTCATATATTTTTTTTAAATATATTTTATTGATTTTGTACAGAGAGGAAGGTAGAGAGATAGAGAGTTAGAAATATCGATGAGAGAGAGTCATCAATCAGCTGCCTCCTGCACCCCCCACACCGGGGATATGCTCGTAACCAAGGTACATGCCCTTGACCGGAATTGAACCCGGGACCCTTCAGTCCCCAAGCCGACGCTCCATCCATTGAGCCAAACCGGTCTTGGCTCAACTTATATATTTTTATTTGTATCTGACCTTGGAAAACATGTGTTTTGTGTGCTTGTTTTTTTAATAACTTTATTATAATACTAGAGGCTTGGTGCACAAAATTCTGCCAGCCTGGTCACTCCTAACTGCCTGCCCGCTGCCGGCCTAGTCACCCATAACTGCCCCCCTTGCCGGCCTGGTTATCCCCAACTGTTCTCCCCTTACCTCCCCCTGCACTGGCCTGATCGCCTCTCACTGCCCCTGTGCTGGCCCAGTAGCCCCCTCTGCTGGCCTGGTCGCCCCCAACTGCCTCTGCTGACCTGGTCGTCTGGTGCAGCCTTAATGTTCAGTTGTTTGGTCGTCCCTCATTAACCCCATGCCTGCCGGCATGGTCGTAGGCAGCCATCTTGTGAGGGTGTGAGGGTTAGTTTGCATATCACCTCTTTATTATATAGAACTAGAGGCCTGGTGCTAGCCCACCCCATTCGGGGATGGGGGGCGCCGATTTGGGTTGGTGCCAGCCAGGGGAAGGAGCTGTAAAGTTGTGTAGCCATAACCATAAATTAATTTTAGAATATGTTCATTCTCTCAGTAAGAATGTCATGCCTTTTACAATTAATTCCCACTCCCACCCACAGCACTAATCTTTATAGAGATAGAAAGTCTCCTGAACATTTCATATAAATAGAGTCATACAATATATGGTCTTTGTGCCTGGCTTCTTTCATTCCATGTAATGTTTTTGGGGTTCATCTGTAGTTTATTCCTTTGTATGGATATTCCACATTATGTCTGTCCATTCATCAGTTGGTTGACATTCAGGGTATTACCAATTTTTTCCTATTATGGGTAAATAATTCATGTGTAAGTTTTGTGTAGATATACGTTTTTATTTTTCTTGGATCAATATTTAAGTACTCAAATTGTTGGATCATGTAATTATTCATACATGCATAGTTTTATTTCTGGACATCCAGCTCTATTCCATTAATCTATACCACACTGTTTTGATTGCTGTAACTTTTAATAAATTTTGAAATCAGTTAAATACAGATCTTCTCACAGTCTTCTTTTTCAACATTGTTTTGGCTGTTCTGGGTACCTTACAATTTCCTATGAATTTTAGAATCAGTATATCAATTTCTGCAAAAACGTTTGTTTCTTATATAAATAACTAGATGCCTGGTGCATGAAAGTCATGCACTGTGGGGGAGGATTCCTCAGCCTGGCCTGTACCATCTTGCAGTTCGGGACCCCTTGCTCTTTACCACCCACCTGCTTGGTGCTCCTTACCACTCAGCTCGCTGCTCTTTTTATCAAAAGTTAAAATTTTTGCTCATTAAAATTTACTGTTAAAAAAAAAAAAAAAAAGACAAGCTACAGGCTGTCAAAAAAATAGCCTTAAAAATTTACAAAACATATTTATGAAGGTATTAGTATCCATGAAATATATAAAAGTTCCTACAACTAAAAAATGAAAAGATAATCCAATAAAAATGGGTCAAAGGTTGATGAGACATTTTTTCAAAAGAAGGTATAAGAATGACCTTGTCATTTACATTTCCTTTTCAACTCAGGACATTAATCACTTTTTATCCACTATAAATTTAAAAGACTGACAACATTGTACATTGGCAAGAATGTAGAGTGGTTGGAACTCCCATACATTGTTGGTGGATAGATTGATAGCTGGGTAAAATATGTAATAATGCAAGTAAGTGAAATGGTGATAATAAGTGGCGTGTGTATGGATCTTTGTTGCAAGATTCTTTTAACTTTTTTCTGGTTTGAAAATGTTCATTGTAAAGTGTTGGTGGAAGGGTCTCAGGAGATGAATCCATAGCTTTTTCCCCCCAGTAGGATGCATTAGTTTTCCATTTTATACAGTAGAGGCAACATAATGTAGTAGAGCTAGCACTGCCTGTATTCAAATCCCAGATCCTGGACTTACTAGCTTTAGGATCTTGAGAAAGTTACATAATGATCTGTACAATAATGATAATCGTAGTCAATATGAGGATAAATGGATGGATGACCCCTGGATCAGCAGCTGGCACATATTAAGCTATATATGTGTCATTTAGTAGCTAAGCACAATTGAAATACATTTAATTTTAAGAAATGTGATTTTTTTTAGATTTTGTTTTAAAACTTTACTTTCTTTTAAAATACTTTATAGTTAAGAGAAGATCAACACCATTTCTGGTAGAGGCATGATGAGATGAGGGCGGCAAGAGGGAAGTGGGGTCATGGTCAGGTGAGGAAATGAAAAGGACTGAGTTTTGTGCTTTTGAATAACAAGAGCACTCTATGCCTGATTAAACCTTTTTTAAGCTTTTAAATTTTTTTAAAGATAATAGACTATTTTTTAGAGCAGTTTTAGATTCATAGCAAAATTGAACATAAAGCACAGTTTTTCCCCCCCCATTCTTGCAACACTCCCTCATCATGTCATTCCACACCAATGTGATACCATTTGTTACACTTATTGAACCTGTACATCATTATCATGCAGAGACCATCGTTTATGTTAGGGTTCACTCTTGATTGGCACATTTTGTAGGTTTGGACAAATGCACCATGACATGTATCCATAGACCATTGTACCATCAGACAGAATAGTTTCACTGCCCTAAAAATCCTGTGTTCCACTTATTCATCCTTCTTTCCCCCTAATTCCCAGGGATTTATACTTTTTTTGTTTTTAAAGAAAGTATTTTATTTTAAATACCTTATATATGTTTTTATTGAAAATCATCATGTACAGAAGAAAATAAAAGGTAACATACATTACATAAATCATATTCATTTCTGTAGATTGACCTGGAAGCTGAGATGGTGAGCACCGTAGCTGGCATTGGGATTCAAGGTACAGATAAAGAAGGTGGAGCTAACGGAGAGCAACAGCCCATTAGTTCCCCATGGGATGTAATTTTGGGATCATCAGGTATGTAAACTTTTAATACTTAATATAAGTAAACATTGTTTCATAAATGTAAGATTTTAAAAATATGCTGGGACATTCATTTGGATTAATTCTTTTGCTAGTGATTTTATACTTTTATGCCTGTGGCTTGAGATTTGTTGTCTAAAAGCAAAGCCAGCAGTAATGTATATAAGATGGAGTATATTATTATATATAACATGTAACATTACACATTATGTTTTATATACAAGATAGTATATATATTATTCTGATAAAGAATCTCAGTTTAGCTGCAACTTCCAATTAATGTAACTCTGAATATTCTTCAGTTAAGATAATAGTTCAGAACTTCAAAAGATTATTCATGAACTATGCCATTTAACAGTGTCCTTTTTTTCTAGTTTGAAAAAGAAACTAAAAAATGACAGTTGCTTTTTTTTCGATTATTAAAATTTGTATTGAACCATGATAGCTTCTTTTGAGCAATTAAAAAAACACACTTTGCCCTACTGTATTATGAAGGTATTGATAATGAATAAGATTGGCATTATCTTTATAATCTTTGTTACCTACATTAATAGACTATAAGATGACCCAGGAGCATAAGTCCTCTTATTTCTCATTGGCCCTCAGTGATACAGGGATGGTTATCTACATATAAACAACCAGAGTAATGAATAAAGAAAGTTAATAGAATACACTGAAAATGTAATTTGAGACTAAATGGTTTAGATGCACTTAATATATTTATAGAGTGAACTAGAGGCTTGGTGCATGAAATTTGAGCACTCGGAGGGTGGAGGTGGTCCCTCTGGGCTTTTCCTGTTGCTTTCTTTTAATTCTTTAAATTATAGAATTAGATGATTTACTACTTTTTTGAGGTAGGCTTGTAAAGCTATAAACTTTTTTCTCAGGACTGCTTTCATTGTGTCCCATAGATTTTGGATTGTTGTGTTTTTATTGTCATTCGTTATCAGGATGTTTTAATTTCTTCTTTGATATTTGTTTAATAGCATGCTATTCAGCTTTCAAGTGTTTGAATTTTTTAAATTGTTTTTATTGCTGTTTATTTCTAATATTATACCATTGTGGTCTGAGAAGATGCTTGATGTGATTTCAATCTTCTTGAATTTGGAGAGACTTTGCTTGTGACGCAATATGTGGTCTATTCTTGAAAATATCCCATGTGCACTTGAGAAGAACATATATTCCATGGCTTTGGGATTAAATGTTTTAAAGATGTCAATTAAGTCCATGTGATCTAGTGAGTGATTTAGGATAACAGTTTCTTTGCTGATTTTTTTGTCTAGAGGACTTATCTAGTGATGTCAGTAGTATATTACAGTCCCCTACTATGATTGTATTGTTGTCCATCTCTTGATATCTTCCAGGAGGGGTTTTGTTTTTTTGTTATGTATTTGGGTGCTCCTGCATTGGGTATATATGTGTTTATCAGGGTTATATCCTCTTGCTCTATCGATCCCTTTAGTATTATGAAATGACTTTCCTTATCTCTTGTTATGGCCTTCACTTTGAGGTCTATTTTGTCAGATATAAGTAAAATTTACAAAGTGATGCAAAGCAAGGGACTAAATCCAAGAATACTCTATCCAGCAAGGCTATCATTCAGAATTGAAGGGGAAGTAAGGAGCTTCATAGACAAAATAAAGGCTAAGGAAATTTATCACTACCAAGCCAGCAATGCAAAAATGTTCTAAAGGGACTGATATAAAAAGAATAAATAAAAAGGAAAGAAGGAACACCGGTACAAAAAATAAAAATGGCTACGAACAAGTACCTATCAATAATAACGTTAAACGTAAACAGACTGAATGCTCCAATCAAAAGATTGGCTGAATGGATAAAAAAAACATGACCTATATATATGTTCTTTATGAGACCATCTAAGAACAAGGAACTCAAACAGACTGAAAGTGAAGGCATGGAAAAATATCTTTCAGGCAAATGGAAATGAAAAAAAACAGCTGGGGTAGCAATACTTGTATCTGATGGAATTTGTTTGTTTGTCTTATTAAGAATGCACCCAAAATGCTTTCCAAGGAAAATCTTGGCTCTGTTGACAAGTACTCTCTCAGCTTCCAGCGGGAGTGACATGCTATCTGAGGCTTGTGTCATTACTAAGCTCAGTTTTCAGTAAAGGAAGTGAGTCCCACCTTACTTAGCTCAACAGGTTATTATAAGCATGTGGTTCTTCATTTAACTTACAGCTTAAAATAGCTTTACTCAGGTACTTGGCAAGAGGCGTATTCTTGAATACACTTTAATTCAACACCTTCCAAATTCCTGGCCAAGAGACAAAGGTTTCCAAGCACTGTCTGAAGGACCTAAATCACAATGACTGCTCTAGCTTGAGAGCTTTTAACCTGGAGTCATACCCCCAAGGTATTCATGCTTAGGTTTTGTAAGGTACTTAAACTTCCCGGAAATTCTTTTTAAGATTTGGGGGAATTGGTCAGATTCTCATTAGAGTTTCACAGTGGTACATGTTACTCCAAAACATTTTAAGAGCCACTAATTTAAATTACTCTAAAATCTAATCCTGGATTAATGTATTGTCAGGCTATGGGAAATTAGATCATAGAATATTTGTTCTTACATTTGATTTTACTAAACTACTTTTGACAACATGTCATTCATTAAAAAAAAGAAATCAACATAAAATCACATTCATTTATATTTGCATATTTGTATATCCGTTTTATATATGTATTTCATCAAAACACAATCCTATAAGATGTGTTCCTATTTTTACTGTAGGAATTGCTGGTGGTTTCAATGTTTACCTTATAAATAACGGATATGTTTATCAACTAGAGAAAATTTTTTCTGACCTCAGTATTATAGATAGCTATACTTTTTCCTAGATATCAAGTATGTTTTTAAGCTCCTAGAAATTTTAAATTAATAATTGATTGTGTTTGCATTGTTGAGAAACTCAGATTTATCGTTAGCAAAGGGTAATGGAAATGTGACATCCAATTTTTAATAATAGTGTTACTTGCGTCTCTCTTTCCTATTCTATGTACCTACTGGTTCAATTTTCTTACTGATTTTAAATGCATTTATCTTAGTAAGGTTTATTTCTTTGTAAATTACCTTTGTGTAATTAAAGTAGAATTAATTTAATTAAATAAATACAGTGGAATCCCTTATTGAAGTGATTGGCTGTGATAATTAAACTGTTATTGGGGGAAATCTATTAAACCAGAATCATAAAACTAAAAATGCTTTATTTAATTTAAAAACTATAAATGTATAATTTTTAGCCCATTTTTGATGCAGAACTACCCCTAATTGAACAATTTGACTTAGCTACATTTCTTTTTCTTTTTTTTTTAATTGACTTTTAGAGAGCAAGGGAGAGGGATAGTTAGAAACATCAATGATGAGAGAGAATCATTGATCAGCTACCTCCTGCATGTCCCCAACTGGGGATCAAACCCACAACCCAGGCATGTGACCTTGGCCAGAATCAAACCTGGGACCCTTTAGTCCGCAGGCTGACACTATCCACTGAGCCAAATGGGCTAGTGCTACATTTCTTTATTGAGTATTTCCAAAATATCCAACTTTATTTTTATAGACACAACTTGCTTTTAGCATTCGAATTGAATTGGTTCATATAAATTTAAATTATATAACTGCACAGCTAGTTAAACAAATTTTGAATTAAACAAAAATTGAAGGGGATTGTGGCTGACAAAAATTGTTCTTGTAAATACTTGAGTTTTAAAAATATTTTAATTTTATAAAATGTTTCAGAAATGCTACTATAGTTAGGAATTTGAGAGTGGAATTATCAGGAGTAAACATGAAAAATAGGTTAGATATTGTGATAATGAATCATAGATACACCTACCGTGTTTCCCCGAAAATAAGACATCCTCAGAAAATAAGACCTAGCGCATGGAAAGATAAGACTTCCCCTGAAAATAAGACCTAGAGTAACTTTGGGAGAAAAAATTAATATAAGACACTGTCTTATTTTTGGGGAAACAGGGTAGCAGCATGGACAAGTATCCGAAGGAATCTGTTGAGTGAAAAAAAGCAAGTTACGAAAGAGACCTACAGTATGATATTTTTTACAGATGATTTAGTAGTAAGCAAGACTAATTATATCTTGAGGGATCAATCAAGACTTGGTAAAACTGAAAAACAAGAAAGTGAAAAAAAAATTTTTAGCCTGGTAGTTTCTTCCAGAAAGAGGAAGGGTTATAGTCATAAAAGGATGCATGGATGTTCTTTTCTTGAGTGAGGTGATGTGCATATGGATGCTTAATTATTAAACTTTATAATGCATCCATTCATATAGATATTTAACTAAAAATTAAACTTTACAAAGGAGCAAAATAGATTAGGTAAATAGAATGAAAATTAACAAGGACCAATACATATAGTTAAATATATGCCCTATCAAGAGACCCAGTTAATAAATAATTGGTCTTGAAATACCCATTGTAAATATGTAAATGTGTTTGTGTATGTATTTTTTTTAATATATTTTATTTATTTTTTACATAGAGGAGGCGAGAGGGATAGAGAGTTAGAAACATCTATGAGAGAGAATCATGGATCAGTTGCCTCTTGCACACCTATTGGGATTGTGCCTGCAACCGAGGTACATGCCCTTGACTGGACTCGAACCTGGGACCTTTCAGTATGCAGGCCGACGCTCTATCCACTAAGCCAAACCAGTTTCGGCTGTATTTTAATTCTGAATATTTAACCTAATTATGGCATTACAGTGATAAGAGCATTATCATTCTAAATACGGTCAGAACTACACAATGTTAGAAAAATAATTACTAAGTACAATAAATTCATTTTCAGCAGAAATTTTACCGTGTTTCTAAAATGCCTGACTTCACTCTTGCCAGACAATAACCTGACAGATTTTTTATCCTAAAGTTCAAAACCCCACTAGTCACTAAGTAGACTTCACCTGATTTAGAATCATTTATAGAAAGGATAATGTGCCCGAATCCCATTAACCTTCCTTGGCCTTTTAATCAGTATTTTCCCTAGATAGAAATTTAGCTGTTCTTATACAACCCTTTATATTCAACATTTAACTTTTTAGAATTTGGTACTTAAATGCTTAGATAATATAGTTCTTGGAGTTCCATTAATATGCGGTAAAATACTATACAATACATGTATCCTCTAAAATAAGCAGATGATACAGACTTTTTGAGGAATAAATTTTCTACAGTTTAACTGGTGAGTGAAAAAACCCTCTCCAACCATTGACAGTGCATTTCTTAGGTCTGGTTATTTCCTTTTGCATAATGCTTTTGAGATTCATCTCTATTGTTGCTGGTGTCAGTACTTGGTTCTTTTTTATTGTTGAGTAGTATATCATTGTTTGGCTGTGCCACAGTTAATTCATCAGTCGATAAACATTTCAGATGCCTTTAGTCTACAGCAATTATTAAGGCCTGTATAAACACATGTGTATAGGTTTTTATGTGGACATAAGTACTTATTTCTCTTAGGAAAATATTTAGGAATGAAATTGCTGGGTCATACGATAAATGTTTAATTTTACAAGAAACTGTCAAAGTGTTTTCTAAAGTGGCTCTTTTCTTAACTGTCCTAAGTGTCCTGGATTAATGTTGCTTCTGCCTAAAGACTTCCTTTTACATTGTAGCAGGTGGCTAGTGCCAGTGATTTCTCTTGGCCTTTTTGCGGGGAGGGGAGTGTCTGGAAAAGTATTCAGCCTTCATTTTTGGAAGATATTTTTACTCCATATATGTCTGGGTTGACTTTCTTTTTTCCTTTGATACCTTAAAGATGTCATTCAATTGCCTTTAGCTTACATAGTATTAAATAAGAGGTCTGATTTCTTTGCCTAGTTCCTTTGTATATAAAAGTGTGTGTTTTTGCCTGGCCCACATGGCTCAGGCGGTCATGAACCAGGTGGTCATGGTTCAATTCCTGGTCAGCACACATGCCCAGGTTGCAGGCTTGACACCCCATCCCCAGTGTGTGTGTGTGTGTGTGTGTGTGTGTGTGTGTGTGTGTGTGTACGTGTGTGTGTGTGTGTGTGTGTATGTGTGTGTGTATGTGTGTGTGTGTGTGTGTGTGTATACGCACTCGCGAGGGAGGGAGAGGGGGAAGAGGTTCAGGAGGCAGACATTCAATGATTTCCTTTCATCATTAATGTTTCTATTGCCCTCTCCCTCTCCCTTCCTCTATGAAATCAATAAAAATATATTTAAAATAAATATTAAAAAAATAAAAGTGGGTGCTTTTTTTTTTTTTTTTTTTTTTTTTTGGCTACCTTCAAGATTTTCTTTTTGGTTTCCAGCAGTTTGACTGATATATCTAGGAGTTATCCTGTTAGAATTCTTGAGTCTATGGTGTGGTATAGCGTCCTTCATTATCTGTGAAAAAATTCTCACCCGTAACCTCTTTAAGTGTTTTTTTCCTGCTTCTCTCTTCTCTTCCTGGGATTTCAGATACTCATATGTTAGACTCTTGATATTATACCCAGCACTTTTTACATATTGTACTTTTTATTTTACCCTTTTTTTCTATTTGTGTTTTAGTGTGAATAATTTTTATTGATTTATTGTTAGGGTCATTGTTTCCTCAACTGTGTCTAATCTGTTGATAAGACTGTTGAAGGAATTTTTCATCTTATATTTTTATAGCATTGCCACATTACTATTTCTTAGATTTCATCCATCTGCTGAAATTCCTACATATTTAGGTATGCCACCTTTTTTCTCTAGATTATTTAACATTGTAGCATAGTAATTTCAAAGTCCATGTTATATAGTTCCAGATTTCAGGTAATCTTTGGGTCTGTTTCTGTTGATTGTTTCTTGAAAATGTGAGGGTTTTTATGTTTTGTTTTTTTTTGCTTTTTGGTTTTGATGAGGGGTGGGAATGTGTGTATTTATTGGGGTGAGGATTTGTTTTTCTTTGCGGGGGTGGGGGAGGCAGGGACCGGGAGGAGGGGTGCTGCTTACTTATATTTGTCTTCAATTTTAACTAAATTCCAGTCATCTTGTGTGGAATTTTAGAGGCTGAGAGTAATAGTATTTATCCAACCTCCGATGGGAGGTGGAGTCATGTCGTCAGAAGCTGGGCTGGGTCTGGGTGTTGTTATTGCTGTGAGTTCTGTCAGTTAACCATGGCTTTTGCATTCATTTAGCTGTGGCTGGTGCTGCCTAAGCATGGGGACCTAGAGGCTGGGGGGGGGGGGGGGGAATAGAGGGGGTTCCTCAGTGTTAAAACTCCACCTCGGCCATCAGTCATCCTGTACAGCTGAACCACGGTGGTTCCCTCTTCACTCTGCAGCCGCATATGACAGGTGGCCTTGCTGCTGTTGGTCATTCTCTAAAGGAGTGTTCTCTGTTCTCTCAGCCCCAGTCTTAAGACCCCTGTGTGTCTGTGGTCCATGAGAGGAAATGGAGCTTGTTTGTTTTTTTGCTTATTTTTTCATTTTTCTGTTCTATTTCTCTCTGGCAGCCAAACTCTGCCTTTAATCTGTGAGTGGTTTTGAAGAGTGTCTCCCCCCCCCACACACACACACACACACGGAGTGGGGAACCCCTGCTTGGTGTCAGTATGGAGTCTTTGGCCAAAGACAGTCCCCTGCCCCTCTCCGAGGTGGAGAGATGCTTTTCTTCCAGTCCTCACATTAGTCTTCCCTGTGCTCTGGGCGTTGTTGCTTTTTCCTAGTGGCTTAAGGCTTTGCTTCATAGGAGGGTTAGAGACTATGGAGAAAAACTATTCACACTAATGGATGATTTCACAGATGCTTTTAAGAGGATTCTAGTCAATGGACTTTATTTTGATCATAGTTACTTAAAATAACACAGAATATTTAAAAGCTGGAGTGAAGGTATTTTTTCATTTGCTGATTTTATTTCTGCTTTCTGAAACTATTTCAGTAATCCTTATTGATAATTATGAGGGGTTTTGACTTTCCCAAACCTTTTTAGCTTTCGGAATTATCCTTTTTTATTTTTAAATTGTGACTGTTGAAAGTCAGTGGTACTAAGTGTGCTCTTAAATTAAAATGGAAATGTTCGTAATTGTTAGAAGGAACAAAGTAATACCCTACTCAGTGATACAACGATGTGTTTTAGATTTTAAAAACCAGGATGAATGGTATAATTTTTTAAAATGTGCCTTTATTGTTGAAAGTTTTACAGATGTTCCCTTTTTTCCTATTGACCTCCACCCACCCCAGGCCTTTACCACATTATTGTCTGTGTCCCTGGGTTATGCATATATGCATATAACTCAGCCATACAGTTATGTGCTTTAGATTTTAAAATCCAGGATAAACAGTATAAATTGTTAATGTGACTCATTAGTTTGATACCGTTATAAATGCCAGGCTGCCTTTTTTTTAATTCTCATTTTATTTGTAAAAACTCTTCAGTCCTCAGAGAAATGATCAAATTGCCAAAATGGCTGGGTTCTGATGAGAGCTCTCTCTTGGCTTATAGTCGCCTTCCTGATTTATCCTCACATGGAAGGGGCAAAATAATTATGAAAAGCCTTTGATCTAGTTTTAAAGCATTAAACAGAGACTGAGACCCCAGAATACATGGAATGCCATTGTCACTTTTAATATAATTTATGTTTATAACAATATTTGACTATAAAAATATTAAATTGAAATAAACTGCTTTCCTTGATATTTTATAGGATGGTATTTAAGAATGCAGAGAAAAGGCAACCTATAAAATAGGTTTTTCTGTTGGATTGCCTATTCCAATTCCTTCCTTCATTTACTAGCTCTGTGATCCTAGCAAGTTACCTATCCTCTTTCATCTTCAGTTTCTTCCTCTGTAAAAAGGACTTACCAGCACTACCTGTCTTCCGGGGCTTTGAGGAAAGTTCTGTGATAATCTCTGTAAATTGCTTAGCACATAGCAACCACATTCATTGAGAACCCTCGTCATCATTTTTGCTGTTAATTTGAAAGGCACTTGAAAATAATACAAGTTAAAGAAGAAAAATTTATTTTAGATACAAACTACTTGAAGTGAAAGAAAATATAAATAAAATAGCCTTACTAAGATAATTTTTTAGAGCATGTGCCTGACCAAATTATTTTAGTTAAAATATCTCAATTACATGTAAAAGTAACCTTAGAATACATCTAAAATTAAAATATTTAAATATTTTAACAAAATTAGTTTGAGAAATAGAGCCTTGTCACATTGTAATAAATTGTAAATTAATTTTTACAACTATTTATGCATTTTAATTATTTAATTTTAGTGAACAGCTATATTATACTCGCTTTTTTGTATGTCAGCTATATATTTCTATATTAAACAATTCAACAGTTGGTTTTTAAATAGCAGTTGTGGTGTGTATCTAAGTCTAAAAGCAGATATTGTGGCAGATCTAAGCATTTCTTAAACAATTAAAATAGACAGTGTTTTCATGAGAAACTGTGACTAAAGTGTATAATTTAGGTGGTTAGTGCTGGTTATTTGACTACCAGTTTCTTGGAAAGTATGTGCCAACCCATTTCTTTTATCACATGAAATAAAAAAATCAGATGTTTGAAAACATTGTGCCCAGGATACAGAATCATATTACTATTAAGAATATATTGGATTTCTGTGAATTTACCAGTACATTTATAAGTCTAAAGAAGTATGTCTTTCATAAGGAAAATAGAAATTTTTAAAAAATAAAACATTGCAATATTTTTATTCTATCAGATGACTTTATAAATACATTACTGTTTTCCCTGAAATTTCTTAAAAAAAAAAAAAGTGTTTTTCTATTAACCAAAATATATACATATTATTTACTATTTACTTTTATAAAGGTTCAGAGGTCCAAAGAGATGACATTCTGTGGATAGCCATGGCAGGGACTCATCAGATATGGGCACTCCTACTGGACTGTGGCCGACTACCAAAGAAAAAGTAAGTGGCAGCATCTCTTTGGGGGTAAAGTGCACAACTTGGAGTTCACAGAATTCCCTTTCGCAAGTCTCCATCCTCTCCACACTTACTGTACTCTCAGGAGGTGCTGGGATATACTACCATAGCGAACAGCCCAGATAAGGCTTGGTCCTTTACTCACTCACTTAGATGCACTGGGAGCACTGCTTTGCCACAAAAGCTGATGTGGCAGCCACTATCTAGTGCTCTGCCAGTCATCCTGACAGAGAGAGAGAGGGGTGGTGAGTTGCTAAATGCCTCTTAAAGCTTCAATTCAGAAGTGACACATCACTTCTACTTACATCTCATCAGCCAAAGTAAGTCTCACAACCACACCTCATCCAACTTCAGGGACCCTGGATGAGCAGTCCCACTGAGCGTCCAGAAGGACGACGGGAGGCATTTGTGAGCATGTTCTCTTGACGCGCACTGCAGGCATCTCCACTCGTTAGTCCAGGTATTCGAGTGCTTTAAAGCATCGTGGCTGACAGCTCAGTGTTGTAGTCAGGCCTGAGATTGAATCCTGGTGTGCCATTTACTATCTGTGCGAGCTTAGGGGAGCCACTTTAACTCTGTGTTCTTATTTATACTTCCCTCTTAGGTTTGAGAATCAGTAATATGTGTTAAGAACTCAACCTAATGCCTGGCATATTCAGCAAATGGTTGTAGCTTTGTTGCCACTGGTGGGGATATGAAGGTGAAAAAGTGGTGTCTCTACAAAGTTTCTTAGATCTTTTTCGATAGAGCCTTTTCTCTTCTTCCTAATACCCCAGGTAGAACTGATCATAGTCTTCCCTGTGATTTCCCTGCACTGCTTACATAGTTATGTCACTGCCCTGGTAAGTTCGTCTTCTCTTCCCCTCCACCCCTCTCTTTTCCTGTCTGGTCTGTTTTTGGTTGCACTTATTTGTTAACAAAACTATTTTCTTACTAGACTGCCTCTGAAAGGAAAGAACCCTTTCTCATTCATTTTTGTGCTCCCCGTAAGGAGCCAGTAAGGGTTTGCAGAAAAAAAATAAATGAATGAAAGTATTAGCCAGAAAGACTGTCAATTCACCATAGAAAGTGGCTGTCATCTCGGTTACCTTTATCAGTAGAAAGGAGCAGTTGTATGCATAATCCAAAATGTCAGATAGATTTCAAATAGTATATATGTGTTTGCTGCTTTGTATGATGTTTGCAACAGTTAATTCAACAATTATTTATTAAACATACTGTATGCTAGGCAGCACTATGCTAGGCAATAGGAATGAAATATGTTCACTAATTAAAAATAAAATGAAATGATGTGGTTGCTGTCCTCCGTGGGCTTCCTGAGTAATAACCAGATTAGCAAACAAACAAGACAGTTTGGAAGGTGCTATTTATAAATAAAATTACTGCAGCTGTTCTTCAACTTGAAATTGTCCATTGTGTAGAAACTACTAGTCTAAAACCTGATAGAGGAGTAGGACTCAGACCAGGAGAGTGGAGGTTTTTCAGGCAAGAAATGATTAGTATGTCAGTAGAAGCCAGACCACCAAGTGCCTTTTAAGAGATTTGAACATACTCTACATGCCTTCCTAGAAAATTTTAAGCTGGGAAGGGACATAATAAGAATTATTTTTTGAAAAACACTGGGAACCTTTGAAGAGGGACAAGACTAGAGACATAGATAGCAGTGAGGAGGCTGTTGCTGTTACCCAGACAGGAGATGATAGTAGCCTAAACAGTGAAGTGACCAAACATTTCACATGAGACGTAATTTTAAATAACAGAGATGGCCAGAATGTTCTAAGAGATGGCTGTGTTGGACCTAAATGGTCAAGAGTGGACTAAATACCAAATAAGTAAAATGTTTACTCTCATTCTTATTAGGAAAGTGTCCACCCAGATCACATTGACTTGATCATAATTTTAAGGATGGTTTATCTTTGTTACTGATCTTTAAGTGGGAATGATTCCTAACATTTTAGAAGTTACTGTTTTCCAACTCTTTATCTCTCAAGGGAACTCCTTTTTAGATTAATACTCCTTGTAGTAATTACCTTTAATTTATTTGTTTGACATGTTAGTTATTATCTGTATTTCTCTGACTAGATTTTTTCCAGTTCCTTAAGTGGCCATATTTTATACATTCTGTATCCCTTTGCCTCCATCCTCTGCTCCCTGACTTACTGAGCTTTGGGAACATGTCAACCAAAGAGTGACTGATGGTCATTTTAGAATTTTGTATATTGTGCCATATTTGGATGTGATATGCATGGAATCTCTCATTATTTGGCTTCAAAGTCAGCTTCTTCTCTTTCCTTTCAATCCTTCCAGCATAAAATCAGAAACTATTGTGTAAAATTTTCTTTGCATTACATAAGGAATCCTGCAATAATCTTTTAAGTAGAAACTTCCCTAGTGTATATAAGAAATTGATTTGTTAAAGCAGCATAATTATCCTGTATTTGTTTCTTAAAGTGAGTAATGCTTGAGCTGGTTGTCTGTTGAAGTAATCTTTCAGTCTACTATGTATAAGAAAACAAAAGTTTTTAAAATGGAAATTCAAGTTTAAAGCTCAAATTTAAATAATTCAATAATCTTTTTAATTCCCTTTCAGGACCTAATGTTGTATGACTCTAAGAAGTTAAAGTGGGATCTAGCTGTACCTGTCCCTGACCATTTGGAGGGGAAAATATCTATCCCATCAATGAAATAATCACTATTCTTATAATTCTAACCTTGTAGGGATTTTCTGTCTGACCACTGAGAATAGTTCCAGTTTTATGTATGTCAAAAATGTAGAAAGGTCCCTACACAGTGGATAAATAAGTTAACAATTAGTAAAACTACAGTAAAAACTGACTTGCACAATATAACCAAACCAAGATCAATAGATTTATTTTTTACAGTGCTTACCACCATTGATTTCATCATTAACACTCATTTGTTTAATAACTAAATTAGATACATATAAGAATGTTGATTTCACCTATGAATTGTCTTTTCCAGTGACTTAAAAAAAGGAACCTGCCTTCGGTTTGCTGGAAGTGGAAATGAAGAAAATCGAAATAATGCATATCCTCACAAGGCAGGTTTTGCCCAACCTTCAGGTCTCTCTCTGGCCTCAGAAGATCCCTGGAGCTGTTTGTTTGTAGCCGACAGTGAGAGCAGCACTGTGAGAACCATTTCACTGAAAGATGGAGCAGTGAAGCACCTTGTAGGAGGAGAAAGAGATCCTATGGTAATAAAATCCCTCCTGCACAGTGTGCCCAGACACTTATAAACATGCACTTTTCTGAACTGTGAACAATTCATAAAATTGGGGGGAGAGAGCATTCTTGGCCTATCCATAGGTTAAACTATAAGACAAGTCAAAGGAAAGGTGAATATAAAGAAACACAAAACCATGTAAGAAAAGCCAACTCACTGCAGTTTATTATGTATAAACTAGAGGCCCAGTTGCATGAAATTCATACACAGGTAGGATCCGTAGGCCTGGCCGGCGATCAGAGCTGATCCGGTTCCCCACCTCCTTCCCTCACTGCCCCCATGCTGCCAGTGCATGGTTCCCCCGGCTCCTCTTTCCCCCTCGCCACCTGCACCCCGCTGCTGGTCACCTGCCATGTTCTGTGCCGCCCCTAATGGTCAACACACGTCATAGCAAGCAGTTGAACTCTCATTCTCCCAGTCGAACTCCCGAGGGGACACTTTGCATATTAGCCTTTTATATATATAGATGTCCAGGCTTCAGAGAGAAGGAAAATTAATAATATGCTAATTAGACTGGTCAGCTGAATGACCTTCCGGACATTCTTCTGGATGAAGCTGGGGCTGTGAGGGCCGGCCCCTTGTACGAATTTTGTGCATTGGCCTCTAGTTTATTAATCAGAGAAGAAGAAAGTGTAAATTAGATATTTGGCAGGATGGTGGAAAGAGTACCAAATTGGTCAGCTTGTCCTGTTCCTGACCAGCTATGTGATTATTGTCAATAAAACTATAAAGTACCACACATTAATATAAACTCAAAATTCTATAATTTTTATTCTAGTCTGAATCAAATGCCCAGCCCTGTTTATATGAAATCAGATCTTTTCCCCTTTAACTTAAGCAGCATATACAGCCATCTTAATTTTCACTTTATATGCTAACACAACACTAAAAATTTTAATATGTGCTGTGTTTTTTTCTTTTTTTAAAAAAAAGAACTTATTTGCTTTTGGTGATGTTGATGGAGTAGGAATCAGTGCAAAGCTTCAGCACCCCCTTGGAGTAACGTGGGACAAGAAAAGAAATTTACTTTATGTGGCAGACTCGTATAATCACAAGGTGAGTCTTGACAGAATTATGTAACACCTTGTTTTTCATCTGTGGTATTTAAAATGCTGAAAACCCTGTGAGCCTCCTACAGTTGCCACTCTTAAAACATAAAGAGGAGTGACAGTCTTTGACAGCTATATGTAAGACCTCTTTTCTTGGTCCTTTCTTTGCAAAGAGGGTATGATGGTACTCTGAGCTGGGGAAAGGACCAATAAATAAAACATGCTTCCAATGGATATAGCCAAAATTGGGAATTGCAAGCTATCAAAGCTGCTTAGTAATAAACTCAGTAAATAAGGAGAAGGTAAGTAGCATAGAAATTAATATGTCATTTAACAAAATGAACATTTTTTAGTTGCATAGTTGTAGCACCTATTAGCAAATAATTCTGTTAAAACAGAATTAAAAGCATTTCATTTAACCAACTATTCTATTTTTTCTAAAGTTCGTGGAAGATAAATATTGATATTTTGTGATGAAAGAATATAAATTTAATACAATTGAGACAAAGGAAATCAGTATCAAATCCTTAGCCAATGTTAGATGCTCATGAGAAGTCAGTCCAACCATATCCCATTGTGAGATAGAAGAATAGCATTTGAAACTTAAAAAAATTTCATCCAAGTTTTCTTCCAGAGGGTAAGATATAACTAGGAATTTTACATAGTTTTCAGTTCTCCCCTGAGACTATAATTTGAATGTTTGGCTTTTTCAAGAAAATGTGGAAATGCCTATTTTTCTATGATTTTTTTTTTCTTTTTTTTAAGAATACTAATCAGAAATTCTCTGGCTTATTTGACACTGTACTTTTCCATACTACAAACATGAGCTTGAGTTTCAAGTATATGATTTTTTTCTTTCTAGATTAAAGTTGTGGATCCAAAAACAAAACAGTGTACAACATTAGCAGGAACTGGAGATGCAAGTAATGTCAGTTCCAGTTTTACCGAGTCAACCTTTAATGAACCAGGAGGCTTGTGTATTGGAGAGAATGGCCAATTACTATATGTAGCAGACACGAATAATCATCAGATTAAAGTGATGGATTTAGAAACCAAAACGATTTCTGTGGTAAGTAATCTTAAAGTATACCTTAATGGTACCATTTTATGAGTAACTCTAAGATCCTCAGCACTGACTGCACTTTTGGTTAGTCTGCCTGCTGTGGTGAAGGTGAAGCATGTAGATAGAGGAATACGTGAATGTCTCTCTAAAGGACATCATATTATTTTTTAAGTGAAAATTCCATTGTGTCAGTGTTTGAGAAAGATACTGGGAGTTGGAAAGAATTTGAACTTTTAGAAAAGGAGGGGGGAAAAGGGCTCCTCTGTTTTTAAATATGTGGACACACTGATACAATTACCCTCACATACTGTGTGGGTTGGGTTGTTCAGTCTTATTTTTAATGATTCTTAAAATTAGCATATAATTGTTTCCTATGGTGAATCTATTACAAAATAGTCTTCCAAAGGAAGCTCTAGAAGCCATGTTTCTCAAGACATTGAAAATAAGATAGAAAGATGTTCTCATCAGTTTTTAAAGATAAAAATATGGTCTCCAATAAAATTTTTAAGTTCCCCTTGAGTGTATCACATTTGCCTGAAAAAAAATGCAAGTGTGTGTTTTTCCTAAAATTCTAGGAATTTCCAAGGTATGTTATGATGACAATTTGTTTTTATTTTAAAGCATGTAATTTCAAAGCATGTAATTCTTGTGACACATATCTGATATATGAATGGCATCATATAGTTGGCAATGAAAATTATAGGAGGACTGGGGCCCAGTGCATGAATTCATGCACTTTGCAAGGAGCTGTGGGCCACGAGGCTACGGTAGGCACAAGGTGGATCTCGGCCCATCCTCCGTACCCCTGCCCAGCCCCTCCTGCTGCAGCCCCACTCTGCTCCCATTGCCACTGCTCCCACACGCTGATGGCACCAGTCCCGTTCACACCCACTGACGGCTGGTGCAATTAGGGCTGGTGCAAGCAGGGCCAGCACTGTCAGTGGGTGTGAGTGGTGACTGCTGCTCTGATCACCCCTCAGGAGCAGGGGGAGGTGGAGAAGTCCTCAGGGGCGATCAGGGCCAGCGGCCACTGCTAGCACCTGCTGATGGTGCTGAGTGATGGGGCCGGCACTGGCAGCAGATGCGAGTGCTGGGTGGGATTGTGCCGCACGGGAGCAAAGAATTTTTAGTAACCACTAGAGGCTCGCTCCACCATCCCACTGCAGCCAATACCCATCATGTTCCGTACACACCCCGGTGGTCAGCGCACATTATAGCACCCAGTTGTTCTGCCATCTGGTCTATTTGCATATTAGCCTTTTACTGCATAGGATTATTATATAGGATGTCTATTATATCCACTAAGTTTAAATTGATATAATTTAATTTTAACATTGAACAATTAATTCTGTTTCAATCATAAGTATTGGTAATTTTTTTGTCAAAACAAAATATATTTCTGAACCTCATTTCAGCCTGAAGTCTAAAAATAAACTCTCCCTCTACAATTATTTTAGTACCTGTGCTTGAATAAACAATTTTTCTTATTTCCTAGCTCCCAATCTTCAGCTCTGGAAATGCTATGGTAGATGGCCCGTTCCTAGTAGAAAAAGCAGAAAAACAAACAGTACCCAAACTACCAAAATCAGCTCCAGCCGTTCAACTCTCCCCTGTTGCTGCATCTCCGGGACAGACTCTGCAGTTCCAGCTGAGATTAGACCTCCCGTCAGGAACAAAGCTCACTGAAGGGGCACCCAGTTGCTGGTTTCTAACAGCTGAAGGTATGGGAATAATCTTGCAAGTGCAACTATTCCATAAATTCTTGATGCTTAATCTTTCTCTTTTGTATATGATATTTTTACTCTTTAGTTGGGCAACATTTGAGGGAAGTCTTGTGACAAAATAGATCTAGACCTAACCCCACTTTAGCAGTTTTCCTTAGTCTGAAATTCTTTTATTCAGGAGCAATGTAACTCATCCAAAATTACTCAGTCATAGTTGCCTGCATTTGCTAGTAGGCAAATCCATCACCTGAGGCTGACCTCTGTGGTCTCAGAACGATAGGTCATCCAATGTTAGAGCTGTGAAAGGCACCTTCTGTTATAAAGAGACTGGTGGCTCAAAGAGATAAAGTGATTATAATAACTACTGATGTTAATTATGGTAAATGCTCAAGGACATATATGGAATTAGGTCCTGAATGGAATTTTAACCCAGTTCTGCTTATAATTGGTTTTGTCTTTTCCATTGTGCTACCGTATTTTCCGGCTAATTTTAATAAGATGACCCCCTAATTTTACAGTTAAAACATAGGTTTAGGCCTATATTTGCTGTATAAGACTACCCCCCACTTCAAAGAAAAGACTTACTTTGCCGTCAAGATCTGCAGGTAATATTTGTGCAATTTTGGTCTTTTGCCCTCCGATTTTCGGTTGACTTTTTTTCGTTTCAAAAGTCGTCTTATATGCCGGAAATACTCCCTCTCAAACTAGCCCTAAAAATTGATTTCATTTTTTTAAAAAAGAAAGTTCAAAGCCCCACCGGTTACCCATTTGGATGTTGTGAAAATTTCTAAACCTTACTCTCAGTGTCTGAATTTACCTCATGGTCTGTGGATGAGTAACAGTCCACAGACTATCCTTGGAGTGGCACTCTGCTGGAGCACTCCAACATACAGAGCGCAGAGGGAGGAGAGGGACCAGGGAAGCAAGCAGGAGCAAAACCCAGAGAATGTCCAGCTGCGCCCAGAGTTATTAACAGATCAGGTAAGATAAGGACTAAGAATTGATCATCGATTTAATGCTAGAGAGTTAGCTGATATCCTCTGAGAGCCTTTCAGAATGATGCAGTTGAAAACAGAATAGAAGGAAAAATGGAGAGAATAAATCCAAATATCTCAGGACTTTAGCTGCAAAGATAAGAGGAAATAGAGCAGTTGCTTAGAAGAGGGGATGGAATTAGAGAACAACATGTTTATTGATAGCAAAGATCCAATAGAGAAATCATTAATGAGATGTGGTGGTTATCCTTTAGGACTTGAGAGGGGACGGGACCAGGTGCACAAGTAGATTGTGGACATTTGCACAGAAGGCCCCATGTGTGACCCAGAGCTGTGGAGGGTAGGTACTTATGGAGGCTCTTTTCTGATGCTTCTGTTTTCTTGGGAAGCACGGGCCATCAACTGAGAGGGAGTGGGAGGAGAGAAGGTTTTGGTGGTTTGAAGAGAGAAGAGAGTCATCCAGGAAGATGGAAGGGTGAGTACACCAAGGAAATGCAGTGTGATTGCTGAATAGCTGGAGACTACCCGTCATGGGGAAAGCCAGACTAGCCACATGGAGGCTGTTCTCTCCAGCCAAGTGTAGCCATGGGGTGCAGGCAGTGCAGGTGAGTGTTTACTGTTATAAGCAGATCTGCTACAGTGGCAGGTCATGTGTCATCCACGTGTGTCTCTGGAGTCATTATCCAGTGTTAATTGTGTTTGCTACTGTGCCTTTCAGTAATAATAGACTCTCACAGATTCTGTTTTAAAGAATTAAGTTGATTTTCCCCTTGAGTATATGTTTTTAAAAACATGCTTACATTTCACTGAAGTAACATGACATGAGCTCTTTCCAATTCAGTTCTTTGGTGGTTTTATCTTTTGCTTTTCAAGATAGCATCTATCAAATGTTTTAGAGCTTTCAAATTGCTGTTTATTTCAATAGTATCATTAAGGCTTGACTTAAGCCCGAAGGCACATTTTCTTCTCTAGAGATGCCAGACAGAATTTATGCTCCATTTCTCGCTTCCTACGATAAAACAGGTTCCAAAGCCATATTTAAAAAGTATGCCATTCAAGTAGAAAAATATACTTTTGGAGGATGTGTAATTGAAAACAAATGAATTACTATGAGCAGGATCCAGGCTTACAATTTGTATTGTTTTAATCTAAGAATACTTCTTGTTTGAGCCTATTTTCAAAGTACTCAGTTACTATAAATTAGGTGAAGATTTTAATATGTATTTCAGTTAGTGTGAACTTATCAATTTATAGTAAGGAATCAGAGACCTGCCTGCCTTAGAGCGTGCTCTCTCATCTCTAACATACACTGGGCCCTAATTTTAAAGTAAAATACACTGGGCCCTAATTTTAAAGTAAAATATTAATTGTCCAGAACTAAATGCTGACTTCTTGTCTCTCATGATCTTCCTCTGTCCTAGTCTCCCACGCTCTTTCACACGTTCTCACTCAATCTTCCATTTCCTCCCTGACCTTCCTCCTTTGTGCCCTCTCACACACTTTTCTTCTGTGCGTTACCCAGATCCAGGCTCTGTGCCTTCTTACCTTGGTACATTCTCAGACGGCAGCTACTGTCTGCAACAACCCACGTGGAGTCCACACCAAGAGAACAGAGAGATCTTGGTAGGCTAGCCAGGAGGGACTGCTGGGTTCCAGCTTGAGAACCTGGCTCTGGGGTGTCTGAGCCTGTGGGAAAGCCATCTCCCTACTGCCCACCCCAGAGAGGGCTGAGTCCTGCAGTACAAGGAGGGTGTTTGGCGCTGGCTTTGCAGACAGAAAATACATTTTATTACTACCCAGGCCTCTATAGTTCAGAGAAGTTCTCAACGGCCAGTTTAGCTGGTCTGCCTGTATCCATTGGTTTGAAAGCACTGCATCATTTGGAGATCACTGCTAGTTTAACTTCTCTGTGTGAAATATAGACCAGTGTGTTGATTTTTAAAAGAGGATATTGACATGTTGAATTCTACTTTGTCAAACACACAAATTAATGTTGATTCATTGGAATATAGATAGGGATGGTATTAAAGGAAAGTGAGGTATTTTATAGAGCAAATTCTTAGCTATTTTATCACGTGTCTAAAATATTGGTTCCATTTTTATTGTATAGGAGCAAAGAAGATTTTTGGAAACTATTTTATAGGGTACATTTGTACACCTACGATTAAAGGACATTTTTTTCTTCTTGGCCAGTTATTTAAGGACAATCACTTATTTTTAAATTTTTGTCTGTATAATCATAGTTTCAGCATATGTGAAGTCTTTAAGCAAAAACAAAACAACAAAACAAAAAACAAGCATAAAAACAAAGCACCACTAGCTTATTATATCATAACTTCACAAATCTCACATGTGACATATCTGAGAAATATCTAAAGAAACATTTTCTGTGTTTTACTTCAAGAATTAGGTATTAAGCCCTCACCAGTTTGGCTCAGTGAATAGAGTGTCGGCCTGCAGTCTGAAGGGTCCCAGGTTTGATTCCGGTCAAGGGCATGGACCTTAGTTGAGGGCACATCCCAGTGAGGGGTGTGCAGGAGGCAGCTGAATGTTTCTCACCGAAGTTTCTAACTCTTTATTCCTCTTTCTCTCCCTCTCTGTAAAAGAAACAAAGTATATTTAAAAAAAGAATTAGGTATTAAAAAAGGCCCAGTTTACTTTGCTCTTTGATTTAAAATATAAGAAGTTTCCCACCAGCCTGCTGTTTAGCAAAATCAAACATTCAATAAAACATACTCCTCAGTTCAGAAATAAAGGCGGCCAAAGAAATTTAAAGATCATTTTTAAATAATTGTTTAAAAGTTCCTGCATAAGAACTCTGGATTTAACTCTTTAGAGTCTCACCTTTTCCCTTCTCCTTACTCTTATTTGGCATGTTTTTCTCAAGTTTGATATATTAGTCAACAGAATAAGAGATGGAGTAAACTAAAGAAGAGATGGAGAGGACCAATAAAGACAGGTGCTCTGAGTGTTGGCTCATCCTCAGGCCAAAAGAAAGAGACAGGAAAGCTCAAGAGTAGGCCCAGAACCTCCTCACTGCTGAAGAGGTGCTGCATTTTTTCAGGAGCCAGTCAGTCAGTCATTGGATTACGCTCATTGTAGTCTACTTAAGATGTCAGGGAAGCACGCCCTGCACTGCCCAGCTGCTGGCCCTTCATCTCTGACCCCCTCTAAAGCTGAGCGTCTGCAAGCACGTGCTTCCTCAGGGCGATGCATGTGTTCCTTCTGACAGAAGGCACTAGATGAATATAGACATTTAAAGCTTTTAAATACTAGAAGATTAAAGTTTTTAGTGGTTTATTAGATTTCTGTTATCTACATCTATGTATTTAAATCTTGGAAGAGTTTTATGTAATAAGGAGGTAGACATAATCTCAGCTTTTACATTAGAATAATATATGCAGTATTACTTATTTCTAAAATAGTGTTATTTTTTATTATTACCTTTTGATAGTCAATAATGGATTACAATCTTAATTTGCAAGTCACTGCAGAGTTAATACATTTGTATTCCCTAGATTTTTTTTGTAGTTTTTATATTTTTATCTTTCTTTTAGAGTCTTAATAATTTACCTTTTTACCTCGTAGGCAATGAATGGCTTCTTCAAGGACAGGTGCCATCTGGCGAAATAGAGAGCATCGCCGATCAACCAACCATCTCACTGCAGGTTCCTGGGGACTGCTCGTCACCTGAAGCCGTCGTATCTGTCAGCGTGTTTCTGTATTACTGCAGCGCAGACAGCAGTGCCTGTATGATGAAGGGGGTTTTGTTCAGTCAGCCTTTACAGATCACCGATGCCCAGCAAGGCTGCACAGCTCCAGTAGAGCTCAAGTATGCATTCTAGCAAGCTGGCTAGCAACCTGTCTCCACCGCCGTCTGTTCCTCATCCTCACTGTCACTGTAACTTATGACAAGAAACTTCACTCCTGCCTCTGGATACCAAGACACCCACTCTCAGTTCTAGCACCTGATAGTAAAGTACAGCTATGCTCCTTATTTAATTATTTATTATAAGCAAACTCCTTCATTCTGGCTGTACCAACTAAGCACTGACGGTCATCTGAACCACGGTTATCTATGCTGCTATTTGGCACACGACTTAAGTCCACACTTACAGAATATTATCATAAGATAATTTGCAATGCTTGCTGATAACAATAATGACATTGTTTTAACTAACTTTTTCTGCCTTTATTAATAACAAGCAGCACATTTAAATGTGTAATTTCACAATAACTTTAAAGAATATCCGAGATCCAGTCCACTGTTTGTATAAGGACACCTGACATTCAGGGCATAAGGTCTGTTCTATCCTTCCCTCTCCCAAAACTCTGTCCTCAGAGTAGGAGCTTAGAGGACCAGGATGGTAAATGTGTCCTTTGTTCTCTTCTGGGGTTTTCTCAGTTGAAATACGTTGAAAAGAGAATATCTATTTTTATTATGTTACTTACTCTTCTAACTTACTATTATTAATGCCTTACAACTCTACACAGAAAAGTCTCTAAGGACATACAGACTCACTCCCTTAACTGTTTTCTCAATGAACAACCTTACCAGGCAATGAACGAGTCCTCAGAAATAGGGCTTTCTAGGAGAAAGGACTTAGGGTCGCATTCCTGTGATATTTTTTAATGATAAAAAATTGTGACAGCTGAATCTGGTATACATGGTCTGTGTGTTTTAGAAATTCACATAATATAGGCATTAAACGCAGGTTGGTTGGATGCCGGTAATTTCAGGTCCTATATTCAGAATTTAAGTAAACAATCATTTATTGTGATGTTTTTTAAAATTACTTCTAAGTCTTCAAAGTGAATTTCCATGTAAAGCACTTTCATGCTATTAATATGTATAGTATATCCTAATACGTTACTCTTTAAAATGTTAAGGTTGAAATATACAGGGATTTGATAACACTTGGGTTTTTTTAATCCCAAAAAATGTTGAAAGTTTTTTTATTGTAATTTCTCTTTATAACTATTTCAAAGCCTATTCTCATTTTTACTAAAAACGGATTCAACAGGTTTGTGGTTTAATCAGCTTACAAGCTTTTTTTTTAAATCAGATGAACCACATTCAATAAATATTTATAGACAGTATGCCTTTCCTCCCTTCAAAAAGTGCTAAATTTGAAATATAATATTTTAAGCACCACCATCTACCTATTTTCTTACATTTTTTGAAATATAATTGAACATCCTACCTCTTCTTTATTCAGGATACCTAAATCTCCGCAGTAAGGAAATGCACAGATCAGGACTTTGACTTCATTTGTAACCTGCTAATGCTATTTAAAGAGAGGTAGAAGTGTAAAGAATTATGTTTGTAATTACTTCATAAACCTTTCCTCAAAATAAAAAAACAAAAAAAGTTCTATAATAAAAGGCAACTAGGCCATGGCTATTTTTTTTTTAATATCATTTGATTATAATACTCAATGCCAGTTGGATAGGATGAGAATATTTTTACTTTATCTTTTTCCTATTTAAGGATATAAACAGTTTCACTCTCTAATATAAGTTTATACAATTTTAACTTGATAATTCAAAGATATCTGCTAATAATTTTTTAATATTGTACACAAACACATATGCATTTTCACCTACATTAAAAACCCAAAAATATTTTGAGACTATTAAATACTTGTCTAGACAGTGTTTTAGGTTAGTATTTCTTGACTTTCAAAGTACAGTTTTAATGAACATTCTTATTCTTACCCAGCTACCAGCCTGCATTGTTTTTTCACATTTCAATTATTATTTATATGATTAGTAGGATTTTTTGCAAATCATATTAAAGCAATATAAATAGCTTTCTAGAATTTGTGACTAACATAAACCTCTTATATAAGAGGAAGTATGAGAAGGTTTATTTTTTTCAATTTCTTGATCCTTGTCTGCCTTCTATTTACTATAGGAATATGTATATTTTTAACTTTTGCTTTTCTCCTGCATAAATGATTATATCCAGAGATGGTGGTATAAGTCACCTTAATCACAGTGCCAGGGGAGTGGCATTGCAAACACTTTGACATAATACCGGGAATCTTTGCCGTAAATTATTCTATTGGTTTGCCACTATTTATAGCATTTCACAAATGGTAGAATTTTTTTTCTGCATTTATACTTTGGATTGATATGATCCCTGAAGAGTTTTGCTAATCTTGAATATGCTTTCTCAAGCAAATATTTAACAACTATTCACAAGGGGAAAGTTGATAGTTTAATCACCTTTAAGTATAACTTTGGCAAAGTTCAGTGGTAAAAAAAAAAAAAAATTCTCAACTATTGTAATAATATATTTATAGTATTGTCAGGCTGGAGAAAACGATAAATCTTAAAGCTACAAAAAGGGTTTAATATGTGTGGATGAGTGTGTCTGTATATGTATATATGTATGTGTGTGTACACATACACAGATACAAAGATCAACTCAGGAATTTCTCACATAAGTTTCTCTTATGGTCAATATAGTTTTGAGCTCTAATACTGAAATAAGACATTTTCTGCTTGTTTCTCCATAGTTTAAAAGTTAGGAAAGATATTGATAATACTATTGCTATAATATAATAATTGCTTATATAAAAGTTACCCTTAGTTTATATCTGCCAATTTAAAAATGTTCAATCTAACCACTATACTGGCATCATATTTGAGAATCATCATAAAAAATCAACTAATTCTGCTCTAGCTGGTTTGGTTCAGTGGATAGAGCGTCAGCCTGTGGACTAAAGTTTTCCTAGGTTTTATTCCAGTCAAGGACATGTACCTCAAGTGCCTTGGTTGGGATGAGTGCAGGAGACAACCAATCAGCATGCATCTCACATTGCTATTTTTCTCTCTTTCTCTCTCTTCCTCTACTTCTGTCTGTTTCTCCCCTCCCACTCTTTAAAAATCAACACAAAAATATCCTCAGGTGAGATTTAACAACAATAACAAATCACCTAAATTCCATAGTTCACAATTGCATAAAAATATATGCAGAGGGACTATGTCAACTTAGTTTTCCTGAATGGTGGAATTATTTATGGCATTTTTTTTTTTCAGTAAACAATGTGTTATTTAAAAAACAACTGGAAATGTTTTTGAAAGATTTTAAATGAGCTAAATTGTAAGCACTTATTATATAATAACTTTTCTTACCAAAGATTAAAACATAGTTTAGTGCTCTTGGATCTGCCAATTCTAAGTATGTGATTCGTGAAGACAGAAGTGATTGTGGCTTTTTCTGCTGGTGTTTTGTTGTGTAGTAGAATGTAGTGGTTAAGAGCAGGAACTTTGCAGTCACTGGATCTAACCCTATAAAATGGGGCTACTACCCCGCCTGCCTCCTGGGGCTGCTCTGAGGATCCAATGAAATAGTGTTTGTAAAGCATTCAGTAGTTAGTAAAGCTGTTAATTATTGACTTAGTTAGTAGTAATAACATATGACCATAAACAAATGACTTAACATTGTCTCTGCAACCACAATTTCTAAACTATTTCTCTACCAACTATTTGATATGTTAATTTCCCCAGAGTTGGGATTCAAAATGAGAAATCCAGTTTTCTAATAAAGCATATTACTATTTTATAATCTATAATTATAAAGAAACATAACTACAGTATAATTTTTATTTTAAAGACTTTCTAGAACTGAGTCATAAACTTTCTTTGAGAGGGTCTAGACATACTCACCGAAACCACATCCTTGTAACATACTATGGATGGTGCTTTATAAAATCTTCAAAATCTTCATGCCTTTTGCCTCAGGTGAGCTTCCAGGTAGCCTAAGGAATCAGACAAGTAGATGTCATGTCCATTTTGCAGCATAGGAATGTCAGTGGCATAGAAAGGTCAGATCCCCCAGACATGCCTGAGGCTGCAGCGGTGCCTGGCGCCAATGACTGAACGGGGGTGATGGGTGGGTCTTTTATTTGAACACAGGTCTCCTCATTCCCAGCGCTACTCCCAGATGTAGAGTGAGAACAAACTGAGCAATTAGAAGTACTTGTTTTCCTCTGTGAACGCTTTAAGCCTTTTGCAGTATTTAAGTAAATAAGGATAACAGCTGACTTTCCTGAGTGCTTACTTTGTGCCTGGCACTTTTCTAAGTGCTTTATATGTATTAACTCATTTAATTTTCACATGAGAGAGGTACTATTTTTTTCTTATTTCCCTTATGGGGAAATAGAGACACAAAGAAGTTATAAGCCCTTACACAAACATAATAGATCCCCCATTTGGGAAGAGGCTGTATTGCCTCTCAAAGTTGTCGTAAATACAAATCTTTCATAGTTATGTCTAGTAACTAATCAAAGAATCCAAAAAATCCTAGTGATGATTGGTTTTAAAATTTAAATTAGCCCTAGCGGGTTTGGCTCAGTGGATAGAGTGGCAGCCTGCAGACTGAAGGGTCCCAGGTTTGATTCTGGTCAAGGGCACATGCCTGGATTGCAGACTCGATCGCCACTGGGGGCGTGCGGGAGGAGCTGATCAGTGATTCTCTTCCATCATTGATGTTTCTATCTCCCCCTTTCCCTTCTTTAAAATTTATATATTTTAGCTTTTTGGGTTTTTCATTATCACTCATCCTTCAGAGTTTGGAACAATCTGTGTAAATGTTGTCCCTCAAAAGATTTTATCTTTCTTAAATCCAGATTTTTTTCTTGGCAGGTGATTGTATTAAAGGATTAAACAGCTTTTCAGTATTCCAACAATATCATTCTAATTGGTCTTCAAAAGGTGATTTATAAGACCTTACCATAAAGTTTAACTGAATTAATGCACAAAAGTGCCTCAAGCCCAAAATACTCATTTATATTTAAGGAAATTCTGTTTTAATAAGCAGAGTGAGCTCTAGAAG